CAGGGCGAAGTAAACGTTGGCTTCTTTGCCGCAGCTAATGGCCCCAAAAACCTTCTTAACTCCTGCTGCTCTCCCCACAGACTTTATGTGCCGCAGTGTACGTACATCTAACACTTGTTCTACGGTGTACCTGCTGTCTCGGGTCAACCCCAGGGCCCCCTTCTTCATTTTCCGAGACTTGGGGGCCCCCGGGGGCCCCCCGGGGGCCCCGGGGGCCCCCGGGGGCCCCTGGGGGGCCCCTGGGGGGCCTCCGGGGGCCCCGGGGGGCCCCGCGGGGGCCTTGGGGGGCCCCGGGGGCCCCTCGGGGGCCCCGGGGGCCCCGCAGGGTACTGGGGGGCCCCCCGGCGAGGGGGTCTCGGCGGGGGCCCGGGGGGCCCCCGAGGGGCCCCATGAAGCGGCGGGGGGAGGCATGGGTTTGGAAAAATGGAAAAGAAATAAAATGGAAATGAAATGGAAAAGAAATAAAAGAAAAAGAATTAAAATTCGGGGAGAAAGGCGCAGGTGTACATACACCCGAGCCGACGCGGCATGCGGGGCCCCCGCCCCACAGCAGCTGCTGCTGTTGGCTTCTTTTGGAAAGCAAAAAGCATTTAAATACTTCAAATTGAATTTAATTTAATCTTTTTTGCAATTTAATTCCACTTTGGAGTTTTTTCCACGCAAAGAAGGCCGAGAGAAGGCCCCGCTGCTGCGGGCTGCTGCAGCAGCATCGACGCCGGCGCAGCAGCAGCAGCAGCAGCAGCAGCAGCAGCAGCAGCAGCAGCAGCTATGGCAGTCAAGATCAAACCTGCAGGGGAGGGGGCCCCCGGGGGGCCCCTGGGGGGCCCCCCTGGGGGCCCCAATGAGGAGGCCGAGCTGTTTGCTGCTGCTGCTCACTGGCAGCACCACCTCACTTTGCTGCTGAATCTCATTCCCTACGAGGCGCCGCAGCAGCAGCAGCAGCAGCAGCAGCAGCAGCAGCAGCAGCAGCAGCAGCAGCAGCAAAGTGCGGGGCAGCTCCGGCGGGCCAAACAGACCCTCAGGTACAGCTTGGAAAGTTTGCTGCCTTCAACAGCTCAGGAAGATGCAGCAGCAGCAAAAGAGGAGAAGCAGCGGCTGCTGCTGCTGCACAAGGAGCAGCAAAACAGCAAGAAGCGCCAGAAGCAGCAGCAGCAGCAGCAGCAGCAGCAGCAGCAGCAGCAAGGGCCTACTACCAGAGAACAGTTGCTGCAGCGGCTGCATGCAAAAATTGAGGCCATGAAGCAGCAAAAAGGCCCGAAGAAGAACAGAGAGGGGGCACAGCAGCAGCAGCAGCAGCAGCAGAAGCAGCAGCAGCAGAAGCAGCAGCAAAAGCAGCAGAAGCAGAAGCGGAAACGGCAAGCAGACTCCCCGCAGCAGCAGCAGCAGCAGCAGCAGCAGGAACAGCAGCAGCCAAGTGCCAAAAAGGCCAAGAAGGCTGCTTCAGAGTCAGCAGCAGCAGCAGCAACAAAGCCAGCAGCAGCAGCAGCAGCAGCAGCAGCAGCAGCAAATGATGACTTTGCGTTTTCCGTTTTGAAAGAAGCAAATGAACCAGAGACTTTCAAAGAAGGAAGAAAAGGAGACAAACACAGACGCATCCGCAAAGCCCTGAAGTAGGGTTTAGGGTTTAGGGTTTAGGGTTTAGGGTTTAGGGTGTGGTGCTCGTGGTTGCCGCTCCTGCTGCTGCCAAGCTTGCTGCTGCTGTTGCTGCTGCTGCTGTGTCTGCTGCTGCTGCCCCACACTTGCTGCTGCAGCTCTCTTCACCTCACTTGCTGCTGCTGTGGACCTCGTGCTGCTGCTGCTGCCTTCGCCGCCCGTGCTGCTGCTGTGGCCCTCATGCCCCCGCTGCTGCTGCTGCTGCTGCTGCTGCTGCTGCTGCTGCTGCTGCTGCTGCTGCTGCTGCTGCTGCTGCTGCTGACTGACGACCCCCGGCGGCTGCGGAAGACGCAGCAGCAGCTGCAGCAAAAGAAGCGAAAGTCCCAAGAGGCCTGGGCTGGAGGGGTTTATAAAGATTTGAAAAAAATAAAAAAGAAAAAAGAAAGTGGGCCCTGCAGCAGCAGCCAAACCCTAAACCCTATACCCTAAACCCTAAACCCTAAACCCTAAACCCTCGGGCGGCTCCTGTCGCCGCTCGTCCGCACTTTGTGGCTTGAGCTGTGTGAGGGTTTAGGGTTTAGGGTTTAGGGTTTAGGTTTAGGACTAAGGGTTTGGCAAGAATATCCTTTGCTGATTATCTTGGCAGCCTTTGGCTCACCTGTTGCTGCTGCTGCTGCTGCTATCTTATTGCTGCTGCTGCTGCTGCTGCTGCTGCTGCTGCTGTTGCAGCCTTTTTTTCTGCTGCTGCTTGTCTTTTGGTTTGATTTTGATTGAATGAAATTGATTAAATATTTAATTAATTAAATTTAATTAAAAGCAAATAAATATAATTAAATATTTAATTCAAATATTCATTTAATTTAATTAATTTAATTAAAATAAAAATAATTTATTTAATTCCACCATTTGTGTCTTTGCTGCAGAAGAGAAGGCGAAGCAGCAGCGCAGAGAGAAAAAAGCAGAAAAGCAGCAGGAAAGCGAAAACCCTAAACCCCAAACCCTAAACCCTAAACCCTAAACCCTAGACCTCCAGCAGCCCACTTCGAAGCTGAAGGAGGCCCCTCATGGGGCCCCCAAGAGGGGCCCCTCATCCACGAGTGAGGGGGCCCCCAGTCGCAGCAGCAGCAGCAGCAGCAACAGCAGCAGCAGCAGCAGCAACAGCAGCAGCAGCAGCATTGATTCTGTGGGGTTCCAAGTAGGCTCCAGAATGGGCCCCTTGAGGGCCCCCTGGGGGGCCCTTTGGGGGCCCCCAAGGGGCCCCCTGGGAGCTCTTTGGGGGCCCCCGTGGGGGCCCTTTGGGGGCCCCCCTGGGAGCCCCTTGGGGGCCCCCCTGGGGGCCCCTTGGGGGCCCCCCTGGGGGCCCCTTGGGGGCCCCCGTGGGAGCCCTGTGGGGCCCCCAGGGGGCCCCACTTGAAGTGGTTTTGACTTGGCGGTAAAAACAGTTTTGTTTTGGATGTGTAGTTAGTTTCTGGTGGATGTAAACCCTAAACCCTAAACCCTAAACCCTCGTAGGATTCTGTAAACCCTCGTTTCTGCGATTTGACGGGCTTCTAAGGCAGACGCTACACTCGCAGCAGCAGCAGCAGCAGCAGCAGCAGCTGCTGCTGCTGCTGCTGCTGCTGCTGCTGCTGCTGCTGCTGCTGTTTGTGGAAATACCAAATACGAAAAATGAAAGGGAGTCAGTTGGTGGGGGAAACCTGGGGTGTACGTACAGCTCGGAACAGAAGAGAGAATTAAATTTAAATAACGATTTATGAATTTAGAAGATTTATAATTTATAAATATTAATTAAATGCGAAATAGTAATTAAATAGAAGCAAAAGGGAAGCCTCAGAACACAGAAAGGAGGCCAGCCGCCCGCAGCGCTGCTGTTCCAAAACGGGCCGAATCACTTGTGATATGTTCATTAATTGTCCATTAATTGTTTATTAATTGTTAATTTATAATTTATTTATAATTTATTTATTATTTTTTATTTATTTCTCGTTTTAATCCGCCATTTATTCGTCAATATTCCCTCATTTCCCCTTTTCCCTCGGTCTTCGCGGCGCCCCGGCTGCGTCTGCAGCGGGGCCGAAATGGCCTCGAAAAACGGCGAAAAAAGCCTCAAAAGCCCCGAAAAGAAGAGAAAAGAAAGGAAAAGAGTAAATAAATGCACAAAAAGAATAAAATGGCGCTCTTAATGGTTGGGGAAAGCGGTTTGGGCGGTGGCGGCTGCGGCGCGCGTTCGCGGGGTGTACGTACACCTCAAGATCGCCGCGAGCCGCCGCAGCTGTTCCCGCACTCAGAAGCCGCCATTTAATTCCATTTGGAGGTTTTAATGCAGCATTTAGTGTTTAATTCTTCCTTAAACTCGAGGAACTCCGTAAGGATAAGCAGCAAATGGATAGGCCTGGTTGTACATGTGCGTCGCCTCCCCAGAAGCAGCAGCAAACTCCGCATTCACGTACGGCAGCCGGTCCATCTTGAAGCCCTCGCTCTCCTCCCCTGCAGCAGCAGCAGCAGCAGCAGCAGCAGCAGCAGCAGCGGGGGTGAGGAAACGCAGCAGCAGCAGCAGCAGCAGCAGCAGCGGGGAGTGAGGAAACGCAGCAGCAGCAGCAGCAGCGGGGGAGGAAACGAAGCAGCAGCAGCTGCAGCAGCAGCAGCAGCTGCAGCAAAGGGAGGGGAGAAGCAGCAGCAGCAGCAGCAGCAGCAGCAGCAAGAGCTGCAGCCACGCGGACTAGCCCAAACCCCAGCAAACCCTAACAAACCCTAAACCCCCACCTTAAACCCTAGAAAACCCGCAAGAACCCTAAAAAACCCCTCACAAACCCTCGTAAACCCCCGTAAACGCTCGTAAACCCTAAACCCTCGCAAACCCTAAACCCTCGCAAACCCTAAACCCTCGCAAACCCTCGCAAGTCTCACAGTTGTATCCGAACTTCTGGGGTTTGAAATTAGGGTTTGGGGCCCAGCTGGGGACCCAAGTGGGGGGGAAGATGGAAATCTCCGGGCCCAAATAAGACTCCCTCGAGGGTTTATCCGAGGGTTTAGTCGAGGGTTTATCCGAGGGTTTATCCGAGGGTTTATCCGAGGGTTTATCCGAGGGTTTAGTCGAGGGTTTATCCGAGGGTTTATCCGAGGGTTTAGTCAACACATACTTGCAGAGCCGCGGGGGGTAGCCCGGCAGCGAAACGTGGAACGGCCGCGGAATGCCTGCGCCGCAAACCCTAAACCCTAAACCCTAAACCCTAAACCCTAGCTCCACCCAAACCCTAAACCCTAGACCCGCCGGAGACCCCAAACCCTAAACCCTAGCGAGCTCGGAGTCAAAAAGGGACGGCTTTCAGCTGCTTATGGCTGTGGGAACCAAGGCCCCCGCTAAACCCTAACCCCCAAACCCTAAACCCCAAACCCTAAACCCTAAACCCTAAACCCTCTGAAAAGCGGGTTGGGGTTTTGGCGTGGAGAGGCTGCTGGGGTTTGCTGCAGCCCCTTTCAAACGTGCGGCAGCCCGCGTGGAGCCCAGAGCTCCTCAGACCCTAGGGTTAGGGTTTAGGGTTTAGGGTTTAGGGTTTAGGGTTTAGGGTTTGGGCTTACACTCCTTGTCGTAGGGCTGCACAGAAGGGTCTGCCAAGTCTTCGACTCCCCAAGTGCGAATTTCTTCTCTGCTTTGAAAGAAGTTGGAGGGCAGCAGCGGGAAGCCAAATCTGCTGCTGCTGCTGCTGCTGCTGCTGCTGCTGCTGCTGCTGCTGAGTTGCTGCCGGTACGTCGCGAACTGGCTGCTGCTCATCCGGGGGCCCTTCCCCATGCTGCTGCTGCTGCTGCTGCTGCTGCTGCTGCTGCTGCTGCTGCTGGGGACTCCCCGTGGGGTCAGCTGCGAGGCCCCGCGGGATGGGGGGCCCCCCTTGCGCTGCGAGTCCGCAGCAGGGGCCCCCTGGGGGCCCCCCTGGGGGGCCCCCTGGGGGCCCCCTTGGGGGGCCCCTTGGGGGGCCCCCTTGGGGGCCCCTTCGGGGGGCCCCTGGGGGGCCCCCTGGGGGCCACTCTCTTGGGGGGCCCCCCGAGTCGCAGGGGCCTCCTTGGGGGCCCCCTGGGGGGCCCCAGAGGGGGGCAGCGACTCCTGGGGGGCCCCCGGGGGGCCCCCCTGGGGGGCCCCCTTGGGGGCCTCGGGGCGGCTCTGAGAAGCTGAGGAGGAGGGGGCCCCCTGGCCGGATTGCTTCGGGGCTGACATTGCGAGGGTTTAGCTGAGAGAGCGAAACACAAAAAAGGGTTTAGAAAGGGTTTAGGGTTTAGGGTTTAGGGTTTAGGGTTTAGGATTTAGGGTTGAGTTTGAAGCTGCTGGATTCTAACTCTGCTAAGTGGACAAGCGGCGCGTGTAAAACTCAGCCCCGAAGCCAAAACCCTAAACCCTAAACCCTGAAAAGTGTTTTGAGAAGCAGCAGCTGCAGCGCGAGGGTTTGGCGCTGCGGGCAGGGGCCCCTGGGGGCCCCCCGAGGCCCCCAAAAGCTGGAGAAAGTGGAAAAGTGGAAACAAAATGAAAAATGAAATAAAATAAATAAATGAAAAGTGGAAACTGACGGGAAAAGGCGGGGCGTTGGGCGCTGGGGTGTATCGACAGCGCTAGCGAGACCGGCGGCGGCGGCGGCGGCGGGAAAAGCGGAAAAGAAAAGAAGTTTTAGAAATAAATGAATGAAATAAATGAAATAAATGAAAATAAAAAAGGAAATAGAGTTTATTTTGAGTTTAAAACACCAAAAATACTTCAATTGCGCCCCGAGGCCACCCGGCAGCGACTAGCGATGCTGCTGCTGCTGCCGCTGCTGCTGCTGCTGCTGCTGCTGCTGCTGCTGCGCCGCGGCGGCCGCCGCCGCTGCTGCAGTGAGCGATGGGACCCAAACCCTAAGCCCTGCGGCTAAACCCTAAACCCTAAACCCTAATTAAAAATCCAAATCTTTTTATATTCTGCTTTTTAACAAAGGCACTTGCTGCGCCTCGCCCGCAGAACCCAAACCCTAAACCCTAAACCCTAAACCCTCGCTGCATATCTATACCCTGTCGGGGGCCCCCAGCCGCTGGGGGCCCCCCGGTCTCAGGCGGCAGCAGCAAAACCCTCGGGGGTTTAGGGTTTGCTGCTGCGGAGCTGCAGCAAAACCTCAAGTGAAATCAGTTCAAGGCCTCAAGTTCGGACCATCCCAGCGGCAAAACCCTAAACCCTAAACCCTAAACCCTAAACCCTCAAGTGATCAGCTCCAGCCGTTGGGAGGCGGCGCTGGCGTTGCCCTCGCTGCAGCATGTCTAAACCCTAAACCCTAAACCACAAACCCTGATTTAGGGTTTAGCGTCCGTTTCTGCACCTAGACAGCCTGTCTGCCGCTTCGCGCGCCGAGGTGTACGTACACCTCACCCAGCCCGTCGCTGGCCCTCGAACCGCCTCGCTGCTGCTGCTGCTGCTGCTGCTGCTGCTGCTGCTGCTGCTGCTGCTGCTGCGGAAATGGAGTTGGGAGAAGGAGTTGAGGGTTTATTTTTTTCTTTTTCGAATTTCTCTCCCGCGGGTTTGCTGCTGAGTGCGCTCTTTTGGGTGTACGTACACCTCAAGCTTTCGCCCAAGCTGCCTTCCCTCTTTCTTCCTGCTGCTGTTGGCCAGCAGCACAAGCAGAAGCTGCTGCAGTACAAGCAGCAGCAAGCAGCAGCAGCAGCAGCAGCAGCAGCGCGAGCGGGCGCAGCAGCAGCAGCTCCCGCAGCCCCGCAAGCAGCAGCAGCAGCAGCAGCAGCAGCAGCAGGGGCGGGGAAGGAGCGGGCCCCCGAGGCCGCCGAAGGAGCCCCTCAAAAGCAGCAGCAGCAGCAGCAGCAGCAGCAGCAGCAGGAAGCAGCAGCAGCAGCAGCAGCAGCAGAACTGAGTCCCGAAGAACTGATGGTTTACTGCGTTTCTGCAAGAGCAAATGCAACAGCTTTTTTGCATGCATGTCTTGTAGTTCCTGCTGCTGCTGCAGTGGTGTTTGTGACCATAAAGAAGGCGCAGCAGGAGCTGCAGCTGAAAGCAGCAGCAGCAATCCTGCTGCTGCTGCAGTGGTGTTTGTGACCATAAAGAAGGCGCAGCAGGAGCTGCAGCTGAAAGCAGCAGCAGCAGCAGCAGCAGCAGCAGCCAGCAGCAGCAGCAGCAGCAGCAGCAGCGCCGCTGCTGCGCTGCAGTCCTTGAAATGGGCCCTTTGGGACTGGGGAGAGACCAATGCCTTCTACAACAGCCACAGCTTTCTCCTAGACGCCCTCGGTAAACCCTAAACCCTAAACCCTAAACCCTAAACCCTAAACCCTAGGGTTTGCCCAGACCGCCCAAAACCCCTCTGCCGCTTCCCCGCGTCCGCCCCTTCCTCCCACCCCCCACCTCACTTCCGACATTCCCACGCACCACCTAGTGCTCAGGGTTTAGGGTTTAGGGTTTAGGGTTTAGGGTTTAGGGTTTAGGGTTTAGGGTTTGCGCGCAGCGTACCTGATGGGGGGCTACTTCGTGTGGGACTTGCTGGAGTGTTTGAAAAACCCTAAAGTCCATTCAAAGGCCTTTTTATTGCATGCAGCTTTATCTCTTTTGGCAATGATTTCTTACTTGCTTTCGCCCCAAGGGAGAATGACTGGCGAGCCAAACCCTAAACCCTAAACCCTAAACCCTGTGTGCAACATGGAGATCCCTGGATAACGCACGCCGAAGGCTAGAAGGCGCAAACCCTAAACCCTAAACCCTAGAAACCCCGTGCTTTCTCCAGCGATGTCAGGGAACGTCCAGGCCCAAACCCCAAACCCTAAACCCTAAACCCTATCCCGGGGGTTTGCAGCAGCAGCGCGGGAAAGTTTGGAAGCGTGCGAGGGTTGCGAGGGTTGCGTGGGTGAAACCCTAAAAAAGGGTTTGTGGTTTGCTGCTTGCAGGG